CCCCCCCCCCCCCCCGCAGACAAGGCAACGACAGGCGGGCACCCCCCGGTGTGAGGAGACGGGGAGGCTACTGACCGGTGGTGGGCACATCGGGGACCAGCTTGAGGGGCCCGATCTGCCGGATCTGAAACGCCGTCCTCACTTCGTGGCAGCTAGGATTCTTGACGGCCCAGACCCCGCTGCAGAGGCCGGCGGTGGCGGCGAGCAGCAGGAGCCCGACGCGCCGCCGGCACCCGAAGAAGACGGAGACCCCCGGGCTCCTGTCCCCGGTGGCCATGTCCACATGCCCCACCAGGGCGCGGGAGAAGCCAGGGACGCGCCGCCCGTCCCGTCCCCCCTCCCCCGCAGAAAAGTTGCGCGCAAGCAGGAGCGACTGCTGGGCTCCAAGGGCTGGCACTTCCTTGCCCCACCGGGAATTGGGCGGCCGGGCGGCCCCTGCTTGGCTCCGCGGCTCGCTGTTCCGAGCCGTGGAAGGAGGCAAAGCACCGAAGGAGAGAGAGCTTCCCCGCCGGGGCTCTAAGCAGGCGGGGGCAGCTGGCACCGGGCCGGGGGATCGCTTGCCATCCCGACCTGCCTGGACGCGGGGCGCTTCGGTGACAAATGAGCTCGTCCCCACCAAGCAGCTGGGCGAGGCGAGGCGAGGCAGAGGATTAACAAAATGGGCAGGGAAGGAGCCCGGCGGGGGGCTCTTCAGCCAATGGGTCTCCGGGAGAAATTTCCCGGGCCGAGCCGGGCCAGCCAATCGCGGGAGGCGGGTCGTGGGGGGGGGGTTCTTTTTCGCCTGCCTCACGTGGGCCGCCCCCCCCCGCGCGCGATTCGAGGGTCTCGCTCGCCGGGGAAGGAAAGGGGATCCCCCCCCTTTTTTTGCGCTCAGGTTGGCAGAGCGAGCGAGAGGGAGGCCGAGCGGGTGCTTTTTCAAAAGGAGGCGAAAGAACACATGTGTGACATGTGTTTTGCTTGAAAGAGGGGTGGGTGGGGGGCGAGGCGAGTGTGTGCTTAGGCAGCCCTCGCCTGCAAACTTCTCCGGCTACTTCCCCAACACCGTCAAAATCCAGACCTTCGAGTGAGGGTGGGTAAATATTCTGGCGGATGTTGAAAACAGTGAAAGAGACAAAGAGAAAGGGGTGTGTGTGTGTGTTTTTTAAGAGAAAGAAGGGATGCTTCGCCCCCATCCTCTTTTCGTTTACAAATTTACAAGTTTGCAAACATATATTTTTATTTATAAATTCATTTTGGATTGCATAGAGGAGCAGAATTATTTTTAGACTGGCAGTTTGGGTGGCCAATCTCTTCCCCCTCCCCACCGGTATTAAAAAAAACACATGAAAACACACAGCTGGTGGATTCCGGGAAGTGAGAAAAACAAATTGTTTTCACCTTTAAAAATGCTTTAGGAAAATGCTATTCCTTTCTAAATATATGCTTCTCGTTTGGGATAGATAGGAAATCCAACCTTTCCAAAGGAATTGCATTTCGTTTCTCACCCCACCCTTCCTAAAGTCAGATCAGATCAAAACTGTCCTTCCTCTCAATTTTTTAATATTTGTTTCCGGAGCAACAGTATTTGGCTTTCCAGGTTAATACAGAACGCTTTTGCAAAATCCTGCTTCCTAAACCTCCTTTCCTCCTTTGAAGATATAGGGTCTCTCAAACATCAGAAGTCATCCCATGAATTATTTGGGGATTACTCCAATGTCCTGTGCAATTCACTCAGAATTCAAGTTTCATTCATTCATTCATTCATTCATTCATTCATTCATTCATTCATTCAGTAGATTTTTATCCCGCCCATCTAGACCAAGGGTCTACTCTGGGCAGTTTACAAATTTAAAAACAGTATCATCCTCTTCCTAAGATTTACACTGGTCAATATAATTGAAAATCTGTATAAATAAAAAAACCCAATATGGTCAGCCCTCAGAATCAATTAAAGAATCTTACTACTGTAGACTGCAGTATGATTTAAAATAAACTAAAATCTAGGGAGTATTACTCTTACCCACAGGATTCATATAACCCATAATTTGACTTACTTGTGTCTCACGTGTGCAGTTACATCAAATGGACAAGTGACACAAGAGTAACAAATCTAAAAAAAATCAAAAAGCTAGGTTCTTCCATGCTGGCTTTCAAATTACTAGCAACTCAAAAGACTTCACCCTGTACTAAGTGCCACAGCATAAGAGGACTACGCAGAGCCCCGACTGCAGTTCTGTCCTTGGCACAACCTCATTCACACTCAGTCTCAAAGGCAGCCCCACATAGAGCGCACTACAGTAGTCTAGTCTTGAGACTATGAGCGCATGGACCGAAGTGGTGAGTGCCTCCACATCATAGGGATGCAGCTGGGCAATCCACCAAAGGTGGAAATGTGCAGAACAGACCACTGATGACACCTGGGTCTCCATGATGAGCGCCAGGTCCAGATGTACACCCAAACTCTGAACCTCACTCTTGGTGGAAAGAGTCACCCCCACAAAGGAAAAGGAGTTTCCCAGACCACTGATGTCTGAGACACCCACCCGAAGTACCTCCGTCTTGCCCAGATTCAGCCTCAGTCCATTCACCTGCATCCACTGCTGAACAGTCCTCAGGCAGTGCTCAAGGGATGAAAAAGCATCCACTGTTGTTGGAAAAAAGGAGATGTAGAGCTGAGTATCATTAGCCTACTGATGACATGAAGCCCCACATCCCCTGATGATCCCTCCCAGCGGCCTCATATACAGTGGTGCCCCGCTTGACGACAATAATCTGTTCCGTTAAAATCGCTGTAAAGCAAAATCGTCATCAAACGAAAGCAAAAAACCCATTGGAATGCATTAAAACCCGGTTAATGCATTCCAATGGGTGAAATACCTCATCGTCCAGCGAAGATCCTCCATAGGGGAAGCCATTTCTAGAAATAGGTCTGGAAAACAGCAGGACACCATTTTGAAAACCCTACGATCAGCTGTAAAGATCATTGTCAATTGAAAAATTGGTTCCCGAAACAGGGAACTATTCAACATAAAGTGAAAATCGCCCATAGAAACGTCATTTTTTGCTATAGTGATCACAAAAATGTCATTGTAAAGTGATTTCATCATCTAACGGGGTCATTGTCAAGCAGGGCACCACTGTAGATGTTAAATAGCATTGGAGAGATAATTGAGCCCTGTGGAACCCCACAATTGAGGTTCCACAGGGCCAAGAAACTCTCTCCAATCTGCACTCTCTGGGGATGGTCCTCCAAGAAGGAACAGAGCCAGCAAGAGCTAGGCAACCGATTCCCAACTCAGAGAGCCTCCCAAGGAGAACACTGTAGTTGTTCAGGCGGCTGAGATATTGAGGACCAGCAGAGACATTTTGCCCCTGTTGATCAAACAGGGTAACCAATGCTGTTTCCATGTCATGGCATGGCCTGAAGCCAGACTGGAATGGATCCAGGGCATTGGTTTCATCCAGAAGAGCCTGCAGCTGATTGGCCACCACCCTCTCAGCTACCTTGCTGAGGAAAGAAACATTGGTGATGGGCCTATAATTAGCAATATCATCTGCCGCCAAGCTCGGCTTCTTCCTAATGGGCCTAATGAGTGTCTCCTTGGAGAGACCCATTAATTATTGCCGTGGCCCATTCGGTTGTTGTAGGCCTGGCTGCTTTGATTAGCCAGGCCAGGCAAAGGTCAAGGGAGGAGGTGGTGGCATGACAGTGGTTAAGCACTCTGTCCATCATATCTGTTGTCACATGCTGAAAGAGATTGAGTCTCGTTGGGCAAGACAGGGCGCTGGACATCTCAGCTCGATCCACTGTTTTCAAATGGGGGTAAGATCCCAGTGGATGGCCTCCACTTTTGATTTTAAAAAGGCTGCAAATTGGACAGGTGAGATGCTAGTGGGAGACCAGTCATTATGACCAACTCCAGATAGATCAGAAAAGTTCCGCCTGCTGGTTGGAGGCTTCGCTTATCTGGACAGCAAAGTAAAATTGACTAGCAGCCTTCAGCTTAGATGGGTAGAGGTTAGTCATGATCCTGACAGCTATTTGATTATTTTCCATCAGATTCTGCCTCCATATGCACTCTAGCCTTCTCCTATTTCACTTCATTGATCGCAGCTCTGGATTAAACCAGGGCGAAGGGTGATCTCTGTGCCAGAGAGGGCATTTAGGTATGATTGTGTCAACAGCCCTGGTGGCGGCGGCCAGCCAGCTATCAACCAGAGCCTTGACAGGAGCACCAGTCAAATCAGCCAGAATCCCTCTCATGGTGTCCTGGAATTCTATAGGATCCAATAACCTTTGAGGGCAAACCATTAAAACAGGTTCTTGCTCCCCATCGGGAAGGGGGGGAGAGAGCCACTGCAAGGTTGAATTTAATTAGGCAATGATCCGACCATGAGAAGGGGACAGACACTAGGTCAGTCACCATCGGGGCACACTCACTCTGCTCAGTGGAGAACACCAGATCCAGTGTGTGGCCACCCACGTGGGTAGGGCCGTTGAGATGTGGGGACATATCCAAGGAGGCCATGGTCTCCAAGAACTCAGGAGCTGCACTGGAAACCTCCACCTCCACATGCAAGTTGAAGTCACCCAAGACCAACAGTGCTGTGGAGATTAAGTCCACCAGCTCCAGTAAGGAAGTGGCTGGGTTGCGGAAAGCGCGGTAACCCAGCATGATCCCTATACCATCCCTTGCCCCAATTGACGTGTTGGGTGCCTCTAGACCCGGCATCACCAGAGCAGAGCACCTAGCAACCTGAAGGGTGTTTTTGTAGACAATGGCTACTCCCCTGCCCTGCCCCTCCAGTCTACCCTGGTGTTGGACTGCATAACTGGGAGGGCAGGCAAGAGTCAGGGGAATGCCCCCTTCCCTGCCGAGTTGACTATCTTAAATCCGGGAGGAGGTCACAGTTCCGGAACTGTGAACAGACTTCCAGCGTCTGTCCATCATTCTTCTGGAACGAATGGCAACATCACCTACATCATATCTCCCTCTGCCAAAAATCACTCTGATGTTTAAAAAATCCCCCTCGGGGGGGGGCAAGCCTTCCACTCCATGCCAACCAAGAAAGAAAAAAGAAACCAAGAGATTTAACAACTAATGAGTAGCAGATAATTAGTGACAGAATTAACAATAAAATCAAATAAATGATTAAACAAAACATCTGTTATATAATAAATGCAATAAGATCAGATTAATCAAACCTCAGTAACAATATACATAAACAAATTAAACAATTAACATTATAACTCTCATAGAATTATGCAAAGAAAATAATTTAAGGAAAACTAAACAAAAAATAATAATAAAAGTTTAAACAATTTGAAAATGAGATATGAAGAAAGATAAATAAATAAATATAAATAGGACAAAGACATTCAACACCCAGACTACCCCCGTCCCATCATACACAGTAAAAGGTCTCAGTCCTCCTCAACAGGCTCACTGCCAAGGATGATTTAGTCACTATTATGCAGCAGGGTTGGTCATATGGCCAATAAGATGGCTTATTATTTTCCATCAAGTTGTTTCTGACTTATGGTGACCCTAATAGGGATTCCAAGGTTCAGTGGAATAACTGGGGGAGAGGGAGGTTTAACAGCACTATCCAGTGTGTTTCCAGGGTCAGAATTTGAACCCAGGTCTCCTGAGTCTTGGTCTGATATTCAGTCCATTCCACTTGCTTTCAAGAAGTCTTATGCCATTTGAATTGGCATAAATT